ATAGGCGCCAGTGAAATTGTGAATTAGGGGGTTTCCGAAATTCTCAGTATTTTATCGGAGTTTGGAATTTAACAGTGCATGGTTAAGTTCGCCTCCTTGCATGGATCTTAAATATAACTGACGAAAAATGCATTTTCTTGTCTGTACTGTTGTGAGGAAAGTTAAACATATTTACATATTTTACTCAACTTGTCCTATTTAACACTCTATTACATTTAAAACTGTGAACGTGGTGCTGAATTTAATTCTAATTAAAACTACCGCAACCGAAAGCTGGCAAGAAATAGCCTTTAGAGGTATCGATTGCATTCGCTCATGCCAATTGCCAGTGCCTCCGTACTCCCGCACTCACGTCTCGTATATTCTTATTCCACACACGCTGATTTACACCTAACTCGGCGTAATCCAGTTAGCTTGGAACTTAGTGTATCTATGTCTCAGTCTCTATCAACTGAAAATGGTTTTACAGAGGTTTATTAGGATTTTAGTTAAAGTTTGTGTTTTTACTTTAAATGTACTTATTTCTCTTTCGACTCTAATAAAAAAGTGTGTAGGACGCTCAAAATAGAAATAAATATCGCCTAATAAAATTCTAAAGTGGTTAAAATATTATACGTCCATAAAAGCTACCAAAAAAAAAAATAAACCCGCCAAACATAGCAGATTATATTTTTCCCGAAACCACAGAATAAACATCAATACGATATTCTATTAGTTGTAGGTATGAGAAAAGGAGAATTTATGTGACGCCTATGTAAACACCCACAAGTAAAAGGGTACGCCCATCAACAACAAGAATAAAAATATCTGTGTGTGAAATTTAAAAGGTTGAGGCATGTGTTTTTCCTTAGAAACATTAAAAAACAAACAAAGTAGCAGATTTTCTTTAATCCCTTCTTTCTTGTGTAGCACGGGAACCTTGACGGCCGAGATGAGAAGCACACAAAGCTAGCGACTAACGAGCGCTGGATACAATTCCTAGAAGACGTACAACTTGATACCTAGACCGCGCCCGAAATATACCAAGATATTATAAACTTGGTTATAAGTTTTCATTATATAATTACTCTCAAAGTATCTGATTATACCAACTTATTATATGTTTGCTGATACCGAATCGATAATATGTAGGAGACAGCATAGCGGCGGCTTATTAAAATTCAGATAGGATCCGCTGGGCTTCAATATTTTAGTTAACAAAGCTGTTTTGCCAATAATGCCCAAAATAATACCAACCGCATCAAATATGCATACTTTATGTCATTATTCGTGTTTTACGACGCCGAATCCAAACCGATAGCAATATTTTATCATAATTTGTTAGACTGACAAATATTACTGCAGATTGCCATTATTTTAAAAGAGGATCTTTCATAACTGTTTCTGGATTTAAAGAAATACTAAGTTGAAATGAAAAGCTTTAGTTTACAGAATAATAGTTATGGGACCATGGTCGCCGTACGAGGAATGGAATAAGTCAGTCACGCTGGCAGACACACGAGCGACAAAGGTAAAATAAAAAAGGCAGAAATAGGCATTTCGCACTTTAGGTTTGCCGCCGCCGCCACTAGGGATTTCATCTGTATACAACTGGGTTATTTTTAATCTTCTTGATTTCTTCATTCGCGCGGACGCAGCGCTAAAGCGAGCACTATTGCGAACTTCTTCAAATTACAATGTAGACATTTTTAGACGCCGCTTATTCGTAGCGACATTTAAAAATGGTCTATAAGCAATACCGTCGCACAAGAAACGGGACCATCTTGTACAAGCAAAAAGAGCGAATGGACAAAAACGTGATTATAAATGATTACAAATTCACGTAACATCCTCCGTTTCTTTGAAATAAATCCCTGTAAGGACGCAACGAATTTGGAGTGGTTAACCTTGTAGCGTGGAAATGATACTGTACGAAAACAAACGCGATTCTGTTACTTATTGTAGACGTACGTTTTTTGTGACCTCCGAGACATATCAATTACTTAGCTTCAAAATAAAAAACGGGCTGAGAATCGGAAGAGAAGAGAAGGAGAAATTTTTCGGCAAAGCCTATTTAGGAGTCACTTCCTCGTATTACGTACTAAATACAAGATGATAAGAATACTAAATAGGTTACGAAAAAGGTGCTACAGACGTAACATTTACACAAGAAAATGCTCTCAGAAGAGAAGCCATCTGACATAATTACGAGTGTGATTTTGTCGTGTCAAGTAGGTACTCAGGGTATTGTGTTGCCAATACAGTGAGGCAATACAGACGGCCTAAATGGCGTAGTGTTGTTCATAAAGTGATCTCACTACACGAGATGGGATGGAAATGGAACACCGTCTATCTATGCGGTCAGTTATTGTTTTTACACACATACAGCAAACGATATGGGTTACACAATAGAGTATTGTGGTTTGTCCTGCGAATCAATGCAAGCCTCTATTTTAATAGTAGGAAAATATGTAATGGATCACTCGAGTAAACTCAATAGGCATTTGTCCAAAGGTTTGAAGGATTTTCGGCCCAAACTTATTGTTAGATCCATTTCTGAGGGTCATTTGAAACGAACCCGAGGCACAGCTACGAATGAATACATAATTGAATAGCCGTCGGAAAGATCTTCAAACTAATTGCCCCAGTGATTTACAGAAATGTTCAAAAGTCAACATGTCTTCTAGTCTAAATTAAAAATGCATCACTGACCTCAATTTTAAGTCAGAATTCAATCTAGAGTCTCGCGAATTCGCTAGACTAGTAGACAGTTAATAAATAAAAAAGACAGTTAAGAATTCGGTGTCAGATTTCCAATAACGACCGTGTTCCTGACAGTTTGGGAACACTATTGATTGGTAAGAAATGAAATAGATAGTTGCTGATTTTGTTTTACGGAGAAATCTCTACAGTGACATCACTGCAATCTTAGCGGCAATTTTTCCTTATTTGATTAACGTATCGAGTGGTATTGCACCATTACCGCGTAATCGATTCTGTGTCACCAAGTTATCGGGACCGGAAAATCGCAATGAAATTAACAAACCTACTCAATAATAATCCGACTATGGAAATGTAATCGTGAATACCTGTTAGTTAAATCGGGATCGAAAACAAGTCGATTATATTTCGAGTTGCGAAACAGAGTTTAGGGGCAAAATTCTGCAATCACAATAACTTGCAAACTTGTTCTGACATTCTTGAGCATAATGTCTTTAAAATGAAGGAGGTCCTGAACAAATTCTTTGGATTCCCCTCGGAGTAAAATACGACAACATTTACGTTAGTAGCGGATACAGAGTAGATTCAACTCTCCTAAATTCCGCTAGCATAAAGTTAGTTCCTAATTAAAACTGGATGTTAGCGAACATAAACAGTAGTTATTAAGTTATAACTAGTGCGGGAATATGGCAGCTGGTGCAAGTCAATGTTCAGCTTCCGGCCAGACAACCTAGACATGCAAAATTTGTGACAAAGCATTAGTACCTAGTACTGTATATTGAAACGCCGCAGATTTCAGCGGTTACTGTATTATTCAGGTACCACTGTATAGTTCCCAGTTATGTCATTAATATGTATTTGCGTTGATACGAAGCCAGATGCCAAACTGATGGAATTTGACATTGTTACACAGTTATGTTCAGACGACACTCAAATTGGATTATTAACATTTAAGGTAAGCCCTTTTGTGAAGGTCTTGGAGCTTGAAAGCTAACTACTTACCCATAAAAGTACAGAAAAATACGGAGCAGGCTCAAGATTTCGCTAATATTGTTATTACCTAGACTGAAAAAGGCAAGAGGCTTAGCTTCTCCAGAAGCGCTAACACATTTAGTCTATTGCCAATTTGACCCTTAAAATGAGCTTTCCTTAGTCGAAACCTAACTAAATCGTTTTATCGCGCCAAACGTGGTTAACTTTTCGCGTCGACTAAATCCTTGGGTCGGTGGATGAAGAGTGTTTATCAATATAGCGTATAAGGATGTAACGTTTATTTATAAATCAAAGAAAATACAAGCAAAAGGATACTCCAATCGATGCGTTAACATTTCTTGAAGTTTTCGAATAATCGCCTAATGCAGGAAATTTTTGACCAAAATTTTCTATTTAGCAGAAACTTGGCAAAAATGAGAAAAGGAAAAGCCATTACGGGCACTGAATGCGAAACTTATAAAGGAGTTGGTTGTATATCAGGTTTCGATCCTTTTCAGATGAAATGGAAACTCGAACTGTTTTGGCATTTAACGCTTACCTTACCCTTGAAACATGGTCAAAGGAAAAAAGGGGTAAAAGATAAAAATATACACTTTCGATAATTAAAACTGGGCTTGGTACACAGTACACACCATTTAATTTCGGATTACTTGGAGAGTTTCTGATGAGTAATAAGAATTCAGATCTCTAAAAACGCTTAAGTTTTATGTTCAATTCCGATTAGGGCGAAGAGAAGGCCTTCTTTTTTATTTCTGTATCGCAAAAAAGTCCAATTGTCCACTTCTACATAAATTTAAACGTAAACAAGCTACAAACACATGTATATTAGTCCAGAATCATGCATGCAAGCAGTGACATCGAACAATGAAGCTCTAACGACCTACAAGTAGCGGGATATCCTCCCAATCAATTCCAAATGCGAATGTCCTAGGTCAGTAACATTGTGGCATCAAGTTTGTCGTCACATTACACGGAGACAGAGGAACCTTGCAGCTTGTACCAAAGGTTTCAATTTTACTTTGGAACATTAACACCTTCAAACGCAAACGATACTTAAAAGACAAAACTGGAAATGTTGAATTAACGTAGAATTTTTTTTTAGTCAATAAATGTTTTGTCACAACTAAATTGTCCATAAAAATGTCAGGTTGAGATGTCATAAAATGGACTATAAAAAGTAAGTTTTTGAAGTAATCGGTTACATTAAGACATTAAGAGATTTAGATGCCCTTGTCAATCAGGTTTGTTTTCAAATACCTGGATGGAGAGAATACAGTTTTTTTTTTAAATTACGTAAATGTACTTACCGATACAGTGTTCCAGAATGTATTTTCTTCACGCCGTCCATGTCTGCTGTGGTCTTCTTATCATGTCTAAACTGGACCGATGATACCCTAATGGCCACTTAAGGTATTACAACGTAATGTCATTATGAGCTGCTCTTGATAATACTGATGTTGATTCAATTCACCTGTAACAAACAATTTCACGTTAAAGTTGAAAACTAGGTCTCCACTTAGCGGCCATTTGCACAAATAAAAATGTAGTAACCAAAGTTTGAAATATACGAGAAAACTTAGGGTTTCGCAGCGCATCTTTTGGTAAAGAAGAAAATATGTGATAAGTGCTGCAGAATTTCATTTGTACGTTTTTGGGAGATACATTTACGTCGGATCCTTAAGAAGGGTTGTGTTATATCACCACTGACATATGTCTACACAAATTGTGGTATCGAGTAGCGCGTCCTTCCATTTCAATATCACAAAATGGAGGCGTCAGCACTTAGGTAAACATTTAAGGAATTCAATATGAAGGATGATAATCTAAAACTAATGATGGTGGGCGTCACCTCGACACAAAAATAGGCCTGCTTAAAATCGAAGTTTTTTTTCTATTTCGTTTAATTAGTCGCAGTATTTGTTTCAAGTACAAACCTCGTTAATGATCATTGCATAAATATTTGCGGTTATGGCTCGTACAAGTATTATTCATGTTAGTATTGTGTTATTAAGTATTAACAATGGACCGATTAAACTAATATGTATTCAACAAACGATACGAGACGAATAATTTGTCATTAATATTCTTTAATCGCAATATAACTACAATGAACTGTTCTTCGGGGAGTAGATAAATTATTTATAAACCAAGATACATAAGAATAAAGTCAACATACAACATTTATGCTTGTTTTATTTATCTCGGGTTCAACAACAAGTAAATATTGTTCAAGTCAAAATTTTGATATAACAAAAGTCCTATTCATACCTCAGTCATCAAAAGACAAAGTAAAATAATCATTAAGGAAAATTAGTCCGAATATTGACCTCCTGGTCCTTGTAATTAAGAATAATGGACGGGGACTTTAAAGGCGAAAATCGCTTGCATACAATGCCTTCCTTTGTATGCAGAATAAAATTTTCTAGAGATTACCATTGCAAATCGGACGAACTTTCATTGGCAGCAAAAAGTGATAGTTATTTAATGGCTGGCAGCCCTGTCTGGTGGACTTCAGCTTAACTTACGTAAACATTTCTTGCAGTCTTTAACATTTTTTCGATAAATCTGCCATCTTCTTTCGAAATTGTCGGACGAATTTTAGCGTCCGATTTTCTGTATATATATACAGAAAATTGGACGCTATACTATACAACCAAAAAATAATAGTTCCGTAGCAGTCATAGAAACTGAAAAGTTTTTATCAACTAATGTCAAAAAAGGCGGAGCTATAATGTCCTTATAACCATTACCTACATCTATAGGTACCTATTAAAAAGTAATGTGCCACCGATTTATTGACTCAAGTGTAGAAAATTGGAACTAATGACAAATCTAAACACGTAGCAATGGCAGGTACACGTAATGCACTTATAAAGAAACCAACGCCACTATGAAGTGACCAGGAAAAGGTTGAATTGAGACTACTACCTACATACTATGCTGAATGGTTTCTAAATCTTACGACAGAATCAAAATGTTTCATTCTATGATGTGCAAAAAGTACCTATTCATTTCGAAGACCAAAAAACAACCGATCTGAGCAGGGATTTAAAGTATTTGCAAACAAAACACTCATACAACAGCATTAAAAAGTCGAAAATAGGGCTCCACGAGGATTTAATCAGCAAAAAGGTACCTACAGTTTTCATAAAACTGTCTGACTACCACAAACTATGTCATCTATTTTGTTTGCGACCGTTTCAGGTTCCAACGGTAGCCAAAATCGGATTATTTCATGTCCCACAGGCTAAACGATTGGGTCGAAGCACAGTTACCGCAAACAGTTATGGTTGAAACTGGGGGATTTTGTTGTTAGGACTCAAAACTGACTTTATGATGTATCGAGGTATAAAACACTAACGTAAAAATTCTCAATACAGTCGTGTATAAATGTGTTATCTATATGGAAAAAGGTAGCCTCTTATCACGAGTGTTAACCGATTCATAAATCATAACCAGGGAAAATTAGAAGTGTTGTATATAACAGGTTAAGCGTCACGGGACAAGGTCATGAGACAGAGCGTAAGACTCTTTGTTAATTCAATCTCAAAACACGTGCTTTTGGCTCCATCCAGGATCAAAGGCCGTAGTACCCAACCTTTTTGAGTGGTGTCCCTTGCAATATAAAATAATATCGTCAAGAATTCCTTGTAAATGAAAGAATGGAGAGTAATTACTGACATCTTATGTGGTACGGAGAATATTTTTAAGTGCAAACATTTTCCTGGAAAGCTGAGAACAATTTTCAAGATACGAGTTTGTTTTTGATTTTTCATTAATAGAACTCAAAATTTAGACCGTACGTGGGTAAGGCAAGTACTAATGTCACATTTTCAGAGTTATATGAACTTTCTAAGATTTTTAGGCACCACTGACAAACGGTGAAGGAAAACATATTGCAATTATAAGTTTGAAATAGTCAACCCGCATTGAGCAAGAGTGCTGATTAATAATCAAACCTTCTCCGTATGAGACGAGGCAAAATAATATTTCCATTTTCTATAAGGGAGTCAATAATCGGAAGGCTTTTCAAAAATTAAGAACATGACCATTCTTTTCAAGTAGTCGGATAAAAAGCAATTTACTACCAACAAACTGTTAATAAATATTCATAACCAATTTTAACTTGCAACAACATTAGACCTGATTGATGCGCTTAGCGGATCGTGCCCATGTGATGTATGATGACCAACACAATCAAGCGAGTGTAATATTAATGTATATAGATATTAGGTAGCTGTAAACCAATTAGTCTAGATTATATGACCATCACGTTGATAACCCTGGGTAAATATTTAATTATATTACTGCAACATCTGTTGATTGGTTAATTTGAGTAACTATTGCAAGATGATTTGAAGCAATACCTACTTAATCTACTGGTCCGTAGGGTGATCTTTAAGCCTTTGACTGCTGACAGAAAACTGTTGAAGGCAAATCCTCCGCTAACGTAGGTCACCGGTGACCTACCTCGTGGTATTTGACACTTTGGCAGTTTAAGGTCTAATCGTCTGTTGATTTTGATAAACTTTTTTCGGTTTTGGTTGTAAAATTGTATCAATGACTAAATGTGTCAGGTTCAAGGTACTTAAATTTCGAATACGTCAGCTTACCCAATAGAAGCATAGCGTATTGTGTGTCAAGAGAAATCAATTCATTGGCCGTTAAACCTAATCAGCAGTCGATTATAATATGCTGACGATGCAAAAACAGTCACAATAAGGCTCCATTACACGGAATACTTGGCACGCCAAATATTATTCTCGAATCCCGCTTTACCGTGTAACTTAACGAATACGTAATTATATTTTGGCCAAAGTCTGAGAACATTGAACACAGTGCAAAGTTTGTTAAAATTCAAACAAAGCCGAAACACAATTTTCATAGGTAGGCATTTGTTTTCTAATCCATGCAAACTTTAAACAACAAATATTTACTTTAATAATCGGTTGTATGAGCGTGTTTACTTTGGATAATTTGGTAACCGTCTTGGGTAGTTTGTAGTGCATTTAGTCTGGGCACGATCCTTCGCGAACCCTGCGTAAACCCCCTAATCCCGTTAAACTTTGTTTCATTTCAAATACATATCCTACAAATCTTTATTAGGAAAATGTGGCATACAATTTTAGGTGAAATCTTATACTATTATATAAAGCGGAAGTTTGTTTTTTTGTTTGTTTGTTTGAACGCGCTAATCTCCGTAACTACAAGTCTGATTTGAATAATTCTTTTTGTGTTGGATAGCGCATTTATCGAGGATGGCTATAGGCTATAAAACATCACGCTACGACCAATAGGAGCTGAGCAGAGCGTGTGAAACCGCGCGGAAGTAGCTAGTTTACTATAAAAGTTCAATATTTTTCATAGCCTTTCTAAAAGCAGGAAAATATACATTCCAGAAATAATTAGAGCGTAAAGTATTTAATATCACGGCTACTAAAACTTGCACTCACTTTGTTTCAAACGCGTACACTTTTTACAAAGCTTTTATTTTAATTAACAATACTTTCGTGGGACAGCCGTGCAAAAAGTGCGCGCCAACGAATGAATTAACTTCAATTTATCAAAGAAATAAGTATACAGAGGCAATAAAAGAAAGCTCCATAGCCCATTGTTAATCTGGTGAAGACACAGTCGCCGTTTGGTGCATTCGCAGTACACTTTGCTCATAACGGGGTTAATTGCCTCGGCAATTAGCTGAGTACGAAGGCAACTCAAAATATTTATGATAGGACTTCCGATGCAGTGTGGAATATAACGACAGCCACCATTTCTACTCTGAATATCATTACCAACATTTTTGTCAAATAAAAAATAGATTTAGACCACTACGTTTCCAATTACGATTTTGTTCGCTTCTTTAAATGTTTCAACATTTATTTTTGTCTAAGAAAACACAGATTAAGACCACTAGGCTTCAAATTAAGAGGCTGGCTATATTCTATTATTATTTTATAAAACCATTACAATTTTAAGAGATTCTATTCCATGAAATTTATAGACGTAATTTGGGTAAAATTACAAATTCATTATTTCGAATTAAGTTAGAGAGATCCATTTTGAACAAGACACACTTTTTAGTGTGAGTAATAAAAAAGAAAAATGTGAGGTAATGTCCGAAGGAAACGTCGGTAAACTTTCTACTTGTCATATTATGTTTTTGCTGAGTTTTTATAAGGTGCGATGGATAACGGTGTAAAAAATATCATGTAGGCTGTGCTGAAAATGACGGCGTGATATGTCTAAACCTGCGTAAAGAATTACGAGAGCATTAAACGCAGCCGAGATAAGTACGAACTGGACTAATGTCTGCTTGGTACTATAATTTAGAAAAGTTCAAATATTATGCAATCTCGTTATGAGTAAAATAGTAGCTTAGAGAAAAGTTATACTTAACATCGCGCCTGTTTTTCTCTTAAGATGATAAATAGATATCGATTTTTATTATTCGCATCGTCGTTTATGCTATCAGGCTAAAACAAATTTTGTTTGATGCGTATTAAAAGGTATGAACTAATTTTGCAGCTGATTAGGACTAGTTGTTAGGATTATAAGCTATGTACAAAATGTATTTCTATTTTTTACACAGCCAATTCCAACAACAGGACACGGAAATTTCGGTAGGTTCCTGGGCGGGAAGAAACATCCGGGTGTCATCAATGCGAGGACCGCCCGGAGGACACGGTGGAGCATACAGTGGCGGTGTGTCCTACGTGGGCTGAATACCGCCGTCCTCAAGGATGTGATCGGCGACGGCGACCTCTCGCGTCAGTTTTGGTTCAGACCATGGGACGGAGCGAGGGGGACTGGGGTGGCGTCTCCTCCTTCTGCGAAGCAGTCATGCTAGCTAAGGAGGAGGTGGGGTGCGTAAGGGAACGAACTCCTCGCGCCCTAGACGTCGCGAGAGACACTCCGGGCGTCGGGGATCGCGAGATGATCTCCGACCACCGTAAGCACGAACCTGCGGACGGCGGGCACGGGTGATTTGCCGTCCGATTAGAACCAGGCCCGAGCATACAGCGTGTCGCGTTCCGCTCGCGCCTCAAGGAGCCATCAGACCACCACAGATGGGGCCCAATGGGCTTGATGCCGACACAGAGCCGCAGAGGGCTTAACGGGTTGCCGGGGCTCCGGTTCGAAGTGCAGGAGTAGGAACGGGGTGGTTTTTAGTCAGTACGAGTCCGACACTACCTCTCACCTCACACGGGCGGCAGAAGCCATTGGATGATTTTTTCCCTTAAAAAAAAGCCAATTCCAACAAATAATTTTATACGAAATAATTTGTATTGTAAGGCACGCGAGCGTGGCGGGCACATGGTCGATTACTGGTCGGCAAATCGGCAAAAGTTGGGTTTTCAGAGATCTTAGTAAAAGTAAGAAGTACGTAACTATGGAATCATATCCAGATTTGTTATGAGACCTACATTTAATGAGACTGTAATAAAAATTGGCAAAACTTTTGTACAGGCAGCACCTACCCTTGAACACCACTACACCTTACCCGTGAAAAAAAAAGTGTGCCAAAGACAATCAACATCTTCAAAACATGCTAAAATTGACATTTCTATCGACAATAAACCTTAAAAGATCGCAAGGTCACCTTTGAATATAAAACCATCAATAACAAATTGTTTTTCTTTAATCTACGCTAAAAAAGCCTGGAAACAAAGTCTTTTCAGCCCGTAGAGAACAAGTAAATAACCAAATAGATAAACAAACATAAAAACATGTTTATTTTGTATACTTTCTACATGTGTGGAATGACTATACAACTATATAACTAGTGAAAGTATGTACACAATGTGTGTGTATGATGAATACATTATTATATTGTATGAAATACAATAAATATTACGAAGCCTGGGAACCAAATTGTATGAATAGCTAACATGATTCAGAGACAATGTCTCTGAATTTTATTTTTGTCTAAGTGTTGAGAATTTGATGTTTCTGTCATTCTTGAAAGCTTTTGTTGCAGCAGAGTAGAATACATGTGTTACAATTCCTACTCTTGGCGCAGGTGTTGTGAGAGCCAGCTGAGGTACTATGACAATCTTCGATGCACCTGCAAGAAGATTTTGGCAAACCCTCCAGCGGTGGCCAGTCACAGATTTACAATATTTTTGATTTTTGAGTTTTTGATATGAAAGAAAAGCAAGCTTCTAGGCTGAACTTTACTTACTTCCTAAAGTTTTTTTTTAGGGGAAAAGCCGGCAAATGAGCTGACAGATCACCTGATGGTATGCAATTGGTGCTGCACATGGACACCCAATAGACCAGAGGCTTGGACTGACAGTATTATGCGAATATTTATAGACATTTAAACCTTATTAGTGAACAATTTAACAAATCATGAACACATCATACAAGTACTACATGAATAAACACATTCCACAAAACATTTGCACAACTTCAATGAAATAACTAACAATTCACAAACTGGGCTAGGCTGGGACATCCTACAAATTTATTGTTCAGTCAAATTGATTAGTCACATTGCTACAATCACAATAGAACTTACAGTTACAACGCCACAATATGGGTCCTAGGGCATTGTGCAAATATATCTTCTAATTTACTGAATTTTCAACTTTGTTGATTCATGTTAAAGTCTAATTACCTATGACAGTTTTGGGGTATTTTGATGTGCTGATCAAATGCAGAACAAGGTATTCCAATCTAATCTTTTAGATTTTGAACTTTAAAGATTCACAATAAAGTCTAATGTTGAATTTTAGAGATATTTTGATGAGCTTGCCACCAAACTATGTGGTACAAATTCACATTAAGGTATATGAATGTAATATACTATAATTTCAACTTTAATCAAGTCTAGTTATTAGAGTTTTAGGGGCTATCTTGATGTACTTGTCCTATTAATCGTACTAATGTATCAAATAGTGGTTCACTGTAGTGTGTCCTAAACGTAAATAAACAGTAATTGAGTGTGAAATATCACACATTGAGTATAATAAGTGGAATTGAAGTAGGTTGTTTGAATATTTATGGTATTTTATACTTTTACAGTAGTAAGTATGTGATGATTGGATAGGTCAATGGCTGATAGATTATATGGATGAATAGAATTACTTTTGTGGAACCACTGATGATTAAAAATTAAAGTAAGATTTCTCTTAGTAATAAAATTAAGAGATGATTGATCAATTTTAAAAATTTCATTTAATTGGTATACTAATTTTAATTCATGTTTAATCTCAATAGTATTGAACTAAGATAAGGAATTTTGTATATCAAACTAATGCAAGAAGGTATTGATAAATGGTATGTTATCAAAATTAATTCTAAAGCTGAACTTATGTATGTTTAGGTGTCTGTATGACTTATGAGACATTGTATTAGTAGTTTCTTATCACTGAATGACCAATGTAGGTTAAATAAAAACAGTACTTAAAGTACTTATGTTGGTTTATAACAATAACTACCTACAATATCACTTTCATAAATGGGTTAAGGTAAATTTTCTTCCAAATAAACAGCAGAACGACTTCTTCGATAACTTGACACACTTTTGAGACAAGTTATCGCTGTACGCAACATAATATATGAGAAAACATGGTAAGATTTCACTACAGACCACATCAATAAGACTTATAAGAATCTCAACATTACTACGCAACTATGACATAAATCTGTGTGCCACTGTTATCAAAACTCACAAATCACGGTATTCGCGGTCAATCATCACGTAAAACACATTATCATCGGCGTCGACACATAAATAGCGAAGTGTATGAGGACTCACCGAAAATGGCTACAAACTTTACAAATGCACCAACACGGCAAACGCCTCATAAACGGACCGTGAGATAGTTTTTTACACCATCAATTTCCCGTACGATTGCACTTTCCAACTGCTTTTACTATTGCGGCCCCCTACTAAAGCAAGTAGTACAAACAGGCATGAAAAATACTTGACGACTGACGTACTATTCTACGCCTAGGGAGCGGTCAGAATGGAATCTTTTCTGCTAAACGGATAAACGAATATGTATTAAATACGCACTTACACACAAATAAAGCACCAAATAACGTCACTTATTTCAATCCACATACGAAGATCTTATCACAATTCACCATGAAATTATAATTTGGGCGACAACGAAGCGAAATCGTCCCTCCTCCCTTCACCGTAATGAATCATAGACAATTGTACTTTTTTTGAAGGTTTGACTTTGCTGTGGCAACGACAATCACATTCTGCCAAGGAACGATTTTACTTTTTTAGATACCTTTTTGATTTATTTAATACTAATAGGTAAAAATCGTACGTTTGTTGCTTGGATTTTAATTAATTCCTACTTTAATAATTTTAAATATAATTACGTACGTTTTAGAACTCTATGATTTCAACATTAATAATGTAAAATATTTCTTTAACAATACTCACTAACCGAATACATGCAATACAATTCAATTATTAACAAATAATGTGCTAAAAAAGAAACTCGTGAAATGCTGCAAAACTAAAATCATTAAAAAAACGCCATTTATTTCCTAATAAAATACCTTTATCTCTCTCTAAACCACTTATTAAACAAGGAAGGAAATAGCGAGGTAATAAATTATCTGTGAATTACCTTTGGTACATGTATCCGATTTTTTTATTTGCGCTCAATAGTGAAGCGCTTTTACTATAAATTAGTAAATTGATATAATCGACTAACAAATAATACTAATTAATAATAAAATTTTTGAACTTAATTATCCATAACATGTATATTAATTGTTTTTGTAATAACTATTCACGTGAATAACCCGCGATTTTAATTATTGATTTCAATAATCATTAAGTCGAAAGCGTCATCTACATTAATCAGTCATGATTTCTTAATGAAATCTATATGTTGTTCATAGAATTTTATTATTATTTGCTTAATTCCGACAATGTTTTAACCAATTAAGACTTACTTTATAAATACAATAAAACTTTAGAATTTTTATTGTATTTATAAAGTACTTATAAAGCTACGGTGTACTTAGATGATCATAATCTAAAGATAAGCGACCTATATCGGGTAATTACTCAAAAATGATAAAGACCTAGTAAAAATTAAATAGCCATTCATTTTTACTAATATTTACTCAGTATTTATCCGAAAAGTTGCCCATATCCGGTTGAATTTGGTTAGATCAGATACATGAATTTGAATGCTGAAAATTTTAAATTATTTAAGGGCTGTCCTAATGTAAAGCGTTGTACTTTCTGCTAACTATTCTCTTGTGATAAAAGTTTGTGTTTAAGTCATGGACGTTCAAAAAAGGCGGACGTAATGTCACTTACAAAACATTGAAGCACCAAAATGTCATGGATGTATTTATATGTGTGTGTACTTGCAACACCTTTGTCACGCGACACAATGTCCTTCGTGTCAATGTGTGTGTATTTTGCGTGGAAGTCTACTAAGCTAGATGCTACAGTAGTTTTTTCAAGAGACTATGTCCATTTTTTCAACGTCCATGATTTACGTATAATGAATTGAAAAAAATTTTTCTTATAGCTTACCATACATACCAAACGAAATAATCACTAATTATTATCCAAACTTTAACTTGTATGTAATCAAACTTTAATTTATTACTTAAACAAAAAATAATTCGTTTCTGAAAAGGTATTACCTAATTAAATCGAATTTAATATTTTGTACAAAAATCGACTAAAAAATTTCTATAATAATTATTATAATCGGCTCATCGCCCTAGTGTTGTGCACATATATGTATGTTGTGTTGTGTGTGCGTGGTGATTTGTGTTAATGCTGATAGAAAGAAATTAAATAAAATCAGGTATATTTTGACGATGAAACTTACATAAATGTGAACAAACACAGTGTTTTGTGTTATCAAGTGATAGTGAATCCGTCGGGAGGCGGTAATCGTGTACGTTCTTTCGCTATTTGTGGATTCTGGATCTCGTCGATGTACCATAAACAAAAATGTCAGCGATCCCGATTTTTTGTTTCTTGCTGCATACCCATCGTTATACCTTAATTAGATCACACGAATGATATAAAATAATGTTAGACGCTTTCTCCCGTGGTATCATCTCGTTCGAATGGCGTTCCCGAGGCAATAAATCGGCCATAGCAAACGTGCGTTTCGTGTGCTCGCGCCCGTCTACACCCGACCTATCTCATTGTTTATGTATGGAGAATAAGCCAGGAATTTTTATGGGGATTCGCGGTGTATTCTCGTTTTAATTGAATATCTGGAAACGATCAGGGTTTCTCGGCGCCTGGCAGTGACGGCGGGGTCGGTCCGCGCCATCGGCGTCCCCCCGACCGCCAAGGTTTTTGTGATCTCTATTTATAATATTCTCTCGATCATTTGGTGCAGCATAATGACATTCTTGTAATGAAGTGCCGTTCTGTGGATTTGTGGGACATGTGCCAATTATTGTGCCCGTGACGAAACGCGCCACGGATTAGTTTTGTATGTATACAAATGCACAACATTAGTGACTTAGATGGGATCACATGGACATAAAAAATATCTAGAGAGTGTTGTTACATGGCCATGTACTGTCTTAGACACTGTGATACAGTTTCAATGTGCTAAACACCTGTAAATGTGTTGTATTTATCACACTTGTGGATAAGCAGGTACATTCATAGATAATTTTTTATTTATTTACATTCAAGTCAATGTGTTTAGATATTATGTCTTGTTATTTTGGTGTTGTATTGCAAAATTTTTATTATTAAAGACAAAACAACATTTTTGTTTAAATTATTGCTTATTTTAGTAACTTATTCATAATAATGTGTTGCACCAAGGTCTAAGAACTGACCTATGTTTGATTTCATTATAATATCAAACTATTAATGCTTATCAATATCTCATAATGTCATATTGCTTTTCTGCTAAACCGTAATTTTGTCCATTACTTTAGGTTTCTAAATTATTGGGGTTAATAATTCACAACACTTTTATATAAAATCTTTATCTATATAGATAGTACAACTAGGCTTCTGTTTGAAATATTGCCATAAGTAGACAACAAAATAGGAAAAACCACGATGACAAAGTCTTGATAACATTCTTATGAACAATGATCTAATTAAAAGTATTATTTTATAGTCCAATAATTAAATACACTGGTACACAAACACTACATTACAATCCTCTATGGTTCACCCCTTATTTTTTTTTTTATTGTACAATTGGTGTCTACAAGACATAAATATGATATTGTGTGTTTAGTCAAGTTGGCGAAGGCACGCAGGGGTATGATCAAGGAGAAGGAGAAGGGCGGAGGCGCCCGCCTCAAGGACGAGCCCAGTGATCCTGCTGAGCCCGGTAAGTAACTTCATAATAATAATAATTTTTTGTGCCCATTTTTCTACGTAAATAACATAAAATAAACAACAGTGAGGTTCTTTTCTATCATGTTTATCTTACCACAAATAATGTGTTTTTAGCCACAAATAAAATTGTGTCAACTTGTTTGCATAAAAGTATTCAAATGTAATTACACTTTCATTAATTGATTTCACTGTATTTGTTTTTGTATTTTTATTCTAACTAATTTATGTGAATTAAGTATGCTATATCATACAAAAATTTATGACGTCTAACACAATCTCATACAAAATTCATAAACAACTATTGTTTTTTTTTAGCATTTTGAAATAACTAAATATTGAATTTGACTAATTTACTTCAGTGAATACATTTTTATTATAAATAAGTTTATTATTGGTGTTATATACTAAATTCCTGCTTTTAAATCATTATAAAGTTTCCATATTTACTATTGAAATAATAATAATTCGTAAACAGGAAAACTGATTAAATGATACCTCCTGTAACAGTAAGTCGAACAAATTGTTTATTGCAGGTTATATCTAATAATATTGTTTGATATTGATAATAGTTGTTGTTATCTGTTGCAGTAATATTTGCATAATTATTGTTATAATAGTCAGTCATCAGTACACTTCTGAATTGTTTACTGTCCTTCTTTATGTTGTAAAAGCTTGCTTTTATATTTAAAAGTTTAACTGTAAACAGTCAATGAAGTGCTTTTCAAGGTCACTAATAGAAACGTGCATTAGTTTCAGTCAAACCAGTTTCTTGTTTCACTGTTTACATTACTATGGAAAATAATGACCAAGAAACTTTATTAGTTTTGTTCAAGAATATTAATCTTTTAGTAAATAAACTAAAAAACAGAAGAAAACTTAACTGCTATGGTGAAAGCCAAACCAGTATGCACAGCTATGCATGTAATTGATTCATCTCATTTATTATCCCGCTCAACTCATTGTTTATCTATCCACACACATAATTAGCAATCTAGATATATACTATAAAATCGTAAATACTCGCTTTTCACAGATACAACGCATTGAACAACTCTTTCGCGCGTTAGTCGCAATATTCCAGTAATTTTTACAAATGAATTCAATAATTTAACATAATTTACTGATGAGCTACGGTGATTAGTATTCAGTAAATGTAACTAGCAATAGACAATTCTTTGCTAAGTTAATCTTTTAATGAAAGTGAGATTATAATTATTGCTTGAGAGTTATTGAAAAAGGCGATACTTGAATTAAACTGTTCATTAATTGTTAATATCTGTTTGGGTCATGGCCTACGTAAATACTGAAAAGGTTGCATTTTGTAAGTGATTTTTTTGTCACAAATCAGGACATGGGTCGCGTCCGCCGTCAGCGTCGCTGCCGACCCCAGCGGCGTTGAAAAAGGAACCTGACGAACCTCAGCACAGGGTCAAATTGGAACCCCATAGTCAGTCGGGTGGAGAAGACTCCACTGCCGACCTGGGAGTTGACGGTATCAAGACTGAGATTGACGGCCTTATGGATAGCGACGGTAAGATCTTCACAAATGCATAATGATGTCATAATTTTGCTCAAAAATCTGAATGTAATAAAATAATATTCCTCTACCAGGTGACCCCACGAAATCTCCGTCGTGTGAACTCGGCGGCCCAGGCTCTCTTAAGTCGGAGCGACTTTCCTCAGACTCAAATGATATATTAGACCCTCAGACAGGTCTCAGAGGACCCACAAATAATCTTCAGGTAAAATAACTATTAATTTTTCATGACTAAACACTTTTTTTTTTGCCCTGCACTAGGATGTTCTCCTGTGACGTGGAGACTTTAAAACTCGAAAAGTATGATACAGTCTTGATATATATTTTTTGTCTAGGATCAAAATCAAAATTGTCGTAACCCCAACGGTGG